TAGGGATAATTGTTGAAGCTTATTAAGTAGAACCACAGCATGTTTGAATTAAAAGTTAAAGGTAAAAGAACACAGAACGTCCGTGGGGCGAACGAGATGATCAACACAACTGATGGTTTAAGTTTAACAGAAGAATCTGTTTTTGTGATGATTTTGTTTGATTGAATCAAACTAGGTATTGATTTGATTGTAAATGTAGAAAATATATTGATTGTGTCTGTAATGGAAATATTAGAGTTAATATTGAACAACTGCATTGGTTGGAAGAATGGATAAAATTATAAGACTTCTCTGGTTAGATTTTGTTAAATATGGCATTAAATAGAGCTTACTAAATTGAATTAGAAGTGAACAAAATATGGTTAGGAAAACCGAGGTGAAATATGGAGATGGGCGTAGATTAATGGAAAAGGCTTAATGATAGGAGTTAGGATTGTTATTCTAATAATTTTGTTATTCATGGGTGAATATGATTACAGTGACAGGTGAAACATGCTGTCTGTTCAATTGGTGAAAATGAGAGTCTATCCCAAGGATGAACAAAATTATGTGACGATACAGGTAGCGGGAGCTACAGTGAGAGATGTGTTAAATGTATGTTCTGTTTGTTTTTCTTCTATTTGTTTATTTTCTGAGAAAGATTAAGGGCAAAAGATTTAAAGAAGGTTACAAGCAGCGGTCATCCGTGTTACGAGATGGCGTACAAAGATAGGGTTTGAAACTGAGTGATTTTTATTATACTTTTATCTGTTTGTTTCCTTACTATGTTATAACTACCTTTTTCCTTACTGGCGTGACTGAGGGTCTGTTTACAGGAGCGCAGGAACAGAGATTTCTCGCTTAGCCCGGCGTCGTAAAAATGTTTACTTGCTAGCTAAAATATTACGGGGCCTTTCCCCAACAAAAACAGCCTTATGCTTCTTCATTCTAAACTTTTCTTCACAGGTTCAAGGAGAGTGATCATTTATGCAAAAATCAGAGATAAAGAGTATAAGTGTGATGATATGACTTAAAATTTGTTTTATTGTTTATTATTGTGATTATGGGTAATCAGAATGATAAAAAGTGAGGAGTTGTAGTGGCAATTTTAATGATATTCATTGATCTTTAGTAAAATATAGATGATTCAAAGAATGTCACATGTGTGTCTCACTTGTAGTGAGAGAAGATTCTGTTTATGTACCTGGGGAGGCAGAAGAGGGAGACACTCCAGAGAACAGACGAACAAGGACCTCTGACCTAGATGTCAGAAGGCCATTTTGGGTGCAGGGGGGCTTATTGGGCCAACTAGTGACGTCTATGGAAAACTACTGGGAGGAAGGCTCTGGGGGGAAGAAGGCCTTGAAACTAAGATAAAAGCTAGTTCAGTCTGTCTGGGGGGGTGTCACTCTTCTGCACAGGGTAACAACTGTGTATTAGACTGCTCCTATTCTTGCAAGAATAAATACTTCTATTTTATATAATTTGACTATGAGTGTCTCTTACGCAGTGATGTTTGTTTGAGATGAATTTTTGCCACAACAAAACCAATGAGCATTAAGCTGTGCCGTCAGCAAGTCGTTTCCCATCATGCTTTTGATCAGCGCAGTCGGTGGAGAGCAACTGCGCGCGACTGCAGAATCCGACACGTGCGCCTTGCGGTCGCGAGAGTTTTTTGACACACGTCAGCATGACATCAGAGCAAGGCGGACCGCACTCGGACACATTTCTAACCGGCATGCATCTCGCGCTGATCACCGGTGATCGGTTCTGCGCAGATTTTGCTCATCTCAAACAAGCCTATTGTCTTGACTGAGCGCGAGCTCGTGAGACTCCGCCCCCTGTGCCGACAGCAGCAGCTCATTTACATTTAAAGGGATACACACTAAAACAGCATGTTTTTCTGAGCCCCAAAAAGTGACAATTTAAACATGCTGTAAAAAATTATCTGTTGGGTATTTTGAGCTAAAACTTCACATACACACTCTGAGGACATCAGAGACTTGTTTTAGATCTTGTGAAAAGAGGCATAATAGGTGCCCTTTAACGTAGACGTTATTAAAAGCATATTATTTTATCTAAAGTATTTGTATCTATTTTTTTGTGCATTTTGCCCCACGCTGGTGAGCCTTTTACCCCATGTGTGGGTAATAAACCACTTTCATGATTTATTTTCACACAAAATCTGTTGCCCCATCAATGTTCAATACAAATAGTATATCTTTTTTTCTGCAATTATACACATTTTTCTTAAGGTGTGCCTTAATCCCTGTTGTATACTACATAAATAAAAGTAACATTTATTCTGGTGTAATGCCTTGCCATCGGCTGAGTCAAAATATTTATTTTAGCAAATCAAAAGCATGCAACAGTCTTGCATAAACCTTGCAAACCCTGCAAATCTAGTGACTAGTTATTTCCCAGAAGGGCCTAAGAATTCGTAAACATGACTTGTCTCCTAGTGGATTGATAAAAACCTGTGCGAAGAGACTCTTGAAAAGCCTACCAATCTGATTGCTGATTGGAACTCGTCATATTGAGAAAGCTCTTGCCATTTTTTACTGTCTGCAACTAGCTATGCATCGACATGGTGTGCACTGTGCACATTTATATCCAAACAAAGTCTCTATTTCTAGGCATCCTTCATTGTTCTATGTGATCATAGTCTTTGTGTGTGTATGTGACAGTTCAGAGTGTGTATCCTTAGCTCTGTCTGTCACACTGACACTCACAGAGAGGCTAAATTCTCTAATCTGTCTTTCAAACCGAGAGAAAAATACCTGTCAAAGAGCCGCACGCCACTCTCAGTGGTGACAGTCTCATAAAATGAAGAACGATCTCCCTCCTCTCGCTTTCTCTTTTACTTCCTATCGCAGCTTCCCTTTCATTCAATTTCATTCACACTAATGGCAGATCGATTCACTGCCAATGGGATATGTGTGCAGAAACATCTCAGATTTATTTGTATTTTATATGTAAAAAATTTTAAGAATTGTTGAAGCAATTGATCTCTGGGCATTCCAACCGGTTGATAGGGTGTTACTATGTACTTGCTAGATTATCCTGGAAGTTGCTAGGGCATTACTTTGCAGTTGCTAGGTGGTTTTGAGGGTTTTAGAATGTTGGTATGTGGTTTCTGGAGTGTTCAGCATTATGTCAGGGTGTTTCATAGGTATGTTTACGTAGATGGGGTTCAACCGCTCCAGACACGTCGACTTGTCTGCCATCTTAGAACAGTTAACATGACACTGTTCATCACTCAGACTAACCAATCAATGAACTTTCATTGAAAATGTCAAAGCATTGTGCAGTCTATTGTTGTAAAAACTACCGAGCTATAAATTCCAGATGTACTGGGATAACCTTTTAGAAGTAAGAATGAAAGGTTCTATAAGCACCGCTCAGAGCGGGATTCGAAACGGTATGGGAAGTAGGCGCGCCAACAAGGACGATAAAGATTGCAGCCAGGTTTACCTGCACGGCTCTTTAGTAGCTGGTCTACATTACACTCACTCCCATCCAGGTCACGGCACCAACGTAACCCCTTCGGTTCTACTCGCACCACTCCAAACGGGATTCGAACCGATGTTTCCGGCATGGGAGTTGGGCATGATAACAAGGACGTTAAAAACCGCAGCCTCTAGAATCAGTCTGTAATGTGCCTCTTGAGGCCAGGGCAGTGAGGTTTACCTCACTCCAATCCTGGTCACGGCACCAATGTAATCCCTCTGGTTCTACTCGCATCACTCCGAGCGGGCCTCTTGAGGCCAGGGGAGTGAGGTTTACCTGCACAGCTCTTTACTAGCTGGCCTCCATTACAGTCACTCCATCAGTCCCACCCGGGTCACGGCACCAATGTAACCTCCTTTGGTTCTACTCGCACCACTCCAAGCGGGCCTCTTGAGGAGTGAGATTTACCTGCACAGGTCTTTACTAGTTGGCCTCCATTACAATCACTCCCATCCGGGTCACAGCACCAACGTAACCTCCTTCGGTTCTACTCGCACCACTCCGAGCGGGCCTCTTGAGGAGTGAGGTTTACCTGCACAGGTCTTTACTAGTTGGCCTCCATTACAATCACTCCATCAGTCCCACCCGGGTCACGGCACCAACGTAACCTCCTTCGGTTCTACTCGCACCACTCCGAGCGGGCCTCTTGAGGAGTGAGGTTTACCTGCACAGCTCTTTACTAGCTGGGCTCCATTACAATCACTCCATCAGTCCCACCCGGGTCACGGCACCAATGTAACCTCCTTTGGTTCTACTCGCACCACTCCAAGCGGGCCTCTTGAGGAGTGAGGTTTACCTGCACAGGTCTTTACTAGTTGGTCTCCATTACAATCACTCCATCACTCCCATCCGGGTCACGGCACCAACGTAACCTTCTTCGGTTCTACTCGCACCACTCCGAGCGGGCCTCTTGAGTAGTGAGGTTTACCTGCACAGCTCTTTACTAGCTGGCCTCCATTACAATCACTCCATCACTCCCATCCGGGTCACGGCACCTCCTTTGGTTCTACTCGCACCACTCCAAGCGGGCCTCTTGAGGAGGGAGGTTTACCTGCACAGGTCTTTACTAGTTGGTCTCCATTACAATCACTCCATCACTCCCATCCGGGTCACGGCACCAACGTAACCTCCTTCGGTTGTACTTGCACCTCTCCGAGTGGGCCTCTTGAGGAGTGACGTCTACCTGCACAGCTCTTTACTAACTGGCCTCCATTATACAGGTTTGTGTTTTGATGTATAACTCAATATCCGACAAACTAAATGCTGTAAAAATCATCTGCTAATGTCTATTGCAGATATAGATATTTGAATTCATGTGAATAACTAGGTTGCAGATGTACAGTCAATTTGCTCTTGAGTGTCACGGACTGGATTTGACCGTTCCAAAATGCAGAAGGCTTGCGTATAGCAGCCTATATATCTATGGGGTTTTCCTGTTGGTTGCTATGGGGGTTGCTATGTCCTTTCTATGGAGTTCTGGGTTGGAACAGGGCGTTTTTGAACTAACAGACCTGTGGTTCTGTCTTTAAGGGCTGTCCGACATATCTCAATGCGGGCCGAGTGGAAGGGCACGTATCGGTCCTGTGGGGAGGCCACCAACACCACGTTTTTGAAGAACTGGAGACCTGGACAAAGAAAGTAAGAAAACCTAGGTATTGATGTATATGTGTGGGTGTTCATTCTGGCTTATTTGCCCATGTGTCTGTACCTGGTTTCTTGCTGAGTCTGTAGAGGAAGGTCTGTCGTGGGTCAGTGTGATCCCTAAACGTAAGCTGGAGTAAAGATCCGGACTTCTTCAGTTTCTGCATTAGCCATAGACCTGAAGAAGTCATAAGGGTTCAGAATGATGTGGAAATCATCATACACATTTATTCCAGGATTCTTTGATGAACAGAAAGTTCAAAAGAGCAGCATTTATTTGAAAAATAGAAATATTTTGTAACATTATAAATGTCTTTATTGTATCTTTTGATCAATTTACTGCATCCTTGCTGAAAAGAATTTAAAAAAAAATCAAAAAAAAAAAAATCTTACTGACCTCAAACTTTTGAAGGGTTTTTAAGTGTGTGTGGTGTATTTCTGTGTGTACCTGTGCTGACTAGCGTGCTGTTGTTATACAGCGTTCCCAGGTGGGGTCCAGACAGGGACAGGAATGTGTGGAGTTTACAGAGGTAACAGCGAAATCTGGGTCGGGTCAGAACAGAGCGAATGATGACGTTCCCCAAAGAGTGCCCGATAAAACTGCAGAAAGGAAACAAAAAAGTCAGGCATCAAACTTTCCAAAAATAAAATGAAGATTCAGTTTTGACGAGTTTAAAACTCTTTTCATGCTAATTATTTCTACATTTTACTTAGGAGCTACAGCTTTAATTAAGTCTCTCTCAATCATCATTAAACTTTAACATTTGATTTTGAAAAGACATTAGAGACTTTATAGTAGGAACAAAGACAGAGAGGGCAGAGAATGGGAAGTATATTAAAAGACAAAGAAATGACTGTGAAATTAAGATTAAAACTGAACTAGGAGAAACGTTTGTTCCATTTTCCAGTGCATTGTGCGAGTATGTTTAGACTTAATTGCTTCTGAATTCCAAACACTACCTATCTTTTACTCTACTGCCATCTTGTGGTAATAATAAGTATAGCAGATGCAGTTCTAGTGGGATCAGTGGTCTATTACCATCCAGGAGCAAATATCACATTTTAACTTCTGTATACACTATTTGTATTGCTGACTCTAAAAGCATTTCCTTAAAGTGAAGCTTTATACTTCATGCTACACTTCATCTGGATCAAGCATTTGAAGGCAAATTTTGTCTACAACATACTATTTGGTAGCAAGCACCCACTGAAGATCACACATCATACATACATGTCAGATTGTTCATGAATCCAGATGCAAAAATAATGAGGCTTAAAAAAATGATTAACTACTGTAAAGTGGTTGTGGCAGATGTATCTAAATGTTCAACCACAAGAGGGCGCACTAGTCTGTAATTTGTGTTTTTGTGTACACTGTACATGGTTTTAAAAAGTAATATAGTTGCTTGATTGGTAAATATGACCTAGTTAGGCTTTGCTATTAGATGTTGTGACTATCTGGATGCAAAAAGCATTAAATTGAATGTCTAAAATACAAACAGGTCAGACCCATAGTTTGAGCTCTGATGCTGTGCTGCTGGAAAAATTGGCTGTGGTTTGATTGCATGGCTGTAATATGTATATGATGGGTGAAATGTATGCTGTTGATGTTTATAAACCTGATTCGGTTGATGGTGAGGTTGTACAGCTGGATGTGCTGAATGATCTCGTCCATAAGTCTATCAGTCATGGTGTCAAAATCTGCAAATGTGTCCACCTGGAGACAGAAAATGAGAGAATGTCAACAGAAAGCTGATCAAACTTATACTGGGGACCATATGAAGTTGTGATTGGTTGTTGAGGGGGATTGGAGCTTTCTGATTGGCTGCTGTGCGCAGCTAAGGTGTTAACTAGTGGTCACAGAGTGATAATTGCATGTTTTTGTGTTGACATGATCAAATTAGTTTATAAAATAATGACATATTATAGATATGAGCAGAAAAAAAGTAAAAAAAATTGTAGACATTTTTTTTTTCACTCTTTTTTCCATACTTTTTAAATGCCCTCATAACCAGAAGAACCCTGGTTCGTGTGTGTGTGTGTGTGTGTCTATGTGTGTGTGTGTGTGTGTGTGTGTGTGTGTGTTGCTACTAGAGCTCACCAAATTGTTTTAATCCCATTGTTACCTATAATAATTGTCTATTTTTAATTACTGTTTAAAATTAGAGTCTTCCTAATGGTTTATTATTCCTTCCTGGCTCATATTCTCCAGGTTGTTCTTTCATATACTTCAAAATTGCTGAACAGATTTTTGGCGTGATCTTTTTGAAACTGCAGATGGATTTTGATCTAACATCCTGAGTGCTCTGATTGGCTGAATGGAGTTCAACAAGTGTGCTGATTGGATGGATGTTCTACCTGGTTGCGTTCTGACATGAGGAAGTCCAGTCTAGATCCCGGCAGCCCGAGCTCTATAAATGTCTTGACCAACCGCAGATCAGCGCTGTTACCTGGTAAAAAAGAATCACAAAAAAATGTACAACAGATACAGCTATTTTTTTTTTCATCTTACATGTTTTGTAAACCTCTATAAATCTAAGTGTATGTCTTTAAGGTTTGAATGTTTACCATCAAGTCCATGGACACACACCACAAGGTGTATCCCATCCTCAAACTCTGTGTCGTCTTCCTCAGGGGGGAAGTATGGATGATCGGAGGCGAGGTGAGGGAGATCACTGTAGAGAGTGCCTCTGAACACCAGCTCACTCAGCAGGGCTTCCTTTGCCTTATAGAAGCTATAAGCCAGCAATGAAGAACTTTAATACTACAGTGAACAATGCACTAAAGTAGTAGTAACAGGGTGTTTTTGCTATGTATTTGCTAAGGTGTTTTGGTTGCCTTTAGTGCATTCCTTTACTGTTTTATTGTTTGTTAGGGAAATTTACATTTTTGAAAATTACATGTTCCTAGTGCAGGACAATTTACTACCTAGGTGCAGCGATTTGAATCATTAAGCATGAGCAATAGTAACAGTGACACACTATATAGTATACAGTATAGACACACAATAGTGACTTATTTAATAATAGTAAACACACTAACAATAAAATGTTGCTGCTGACTTTAAGCATTGTTAAAATCAAAGAAAAAGTTACTTGATCATTCGTTCGTTGATTTTCTGGTCATCCCCGAAGAAGGTATTGGAGGAGATGATTCCGAAGGACCCCAGGGGTTGATGGGTAATTGGGGAGGTGGCTTGGCGTGTGGAGATTCCACTGACCGACGGTGAATCACGGAGTACGGACGAGAAGGGCAGACACGTGGGGGCGCACGACACCGACAGGTTCACAACCTCCACCACCTTTTTGTTCATGAATGCCAGACCTGTACTTTGCACTTTATTGGCTCTGCTCTGCCCCTCTAGCGCCTGCTGCTCTCTCTCATTGGCCGGAAGCTTGATGAGATCTGCGAGCCTTTCTTTCTCATTGGCTGTTATTCCGTGACCGCTCTTGTCATTGGTTGGTAAATCTGGGAGGTTCTCCATACTTACTTCCTCAAGTTCGTTCAAATGAATGTTACAAACACTGATGTCATCATGGTCCTTTTGATATGCGTTTGACTCTAGCTCCCCTTTGTGTTTGCAGTATTCATTTTCACAACAAATCTCTGTCTTGTCATCCATTACACCAGAATACTCTTTAAGCAATGCGTTTCCTTGACATTCCTCAGAGTTTTCAGTCAGTGTGGCATTTTCAACACCATTATCCATCAGAAATTGCTGGTATAGTAACATTTCTGTATTTACAAAAGCAAGATCTGTCTTTTCCTGATTGGAAGACTCATCTGTGTCAGTCTCCTGATTGGTTGCTTCGTTTCCGTCCTCCCTAGTAACACCTTGAAGATTCCGCTTCACCTCATTGGCTGCTTCAGTCCTCTGCCTTAGCTGATTGGCCCCACAAATATTCCTCTTCTCCTGATTGATTGATTCCTCTCTGTCCTCCCTAGTAACAGCTTGAAGATTCCGCTTCACCTCATTGGCTGCTTCCTCACTCAGCCTCAGCTGATTGGCCATACAAACATTCATCTCCTCCTGATTGGTTGTTTCTTCTTTGTCCTCTCTAATAACGCCTTGAAGATTCGGCTTCACCTCACTGGCTGCTTCCTCACTCAGCCTCAAATGATTGGCCACACAGTCCACCTGATTGGGTGTTTCACGATCCTCCTCGTTGTCGTCAGGGCTGCTGATCTGCGGCGCCGAGACAGATTTGGTCAAAGTGTTGAGCTGCCTCTCCTCCTCCTCTTCGTACGGTAGCGAGCTAATGGAGGTCAAAGAGGCCTGTGTGGCACTGGGAAGGCTTCCGTGACTTTCCGTCTGCAGGCCCTCGAGAGAGCTCTGATGCGCCGCCCGACACCGCGCCAAGGTCTGCAAGACGTCACGGCCCCCTGCGACAACTCCTCGACCCTCCAGGGTCCAGGCCACAGAGCTCGGCTCGCTCTCAATACCGGAGTCTGAGATCACGGAGGAGGAGCGGTTTATTAGCTTAGCCCCGCCCAAGAATACTCCCCTGGGAGGGTTCTCGGACAAGCGACGGTTCTGTTGTAGAACGTTACGAGAAGGAGACTTGGTGTTCAGTAGATTAGCTGGTGATGTATCCTGGCTCCCATAATCCTTTGCAGGCGCTTCAATGTATCTGTCATCCGACTGTGGCTCCTCGTTGCCAAGACTCCCAGGTGTTTGAAGATGGTTGTCATGGTTGTGAGTGGGCAAGAACTCAAAGCTGTCAAGACTGGTGTGGTCGGGAAGTTCTGCAGAGTCAACAAGCAGCAATGTCTGCCTGCTACTCAAATCAGTTATTTGTGTGATATCAGTTTGTTTTAGACCTGCATGTTCAGATTCGTCAAAGTTTACCGTTTCTTTTTGGCAACTAGTTTTCTCCAGGTTATCTGTATCTATTGCTTCATCGCTGTCCACAGACCTACAGTCGACATCAAATCCTTCCTCGGTTTCATATCGGCATGTGGCTTCATCAACAGACTCAATTCTTGAATCTCTGCTCGTCACGATGCATTCGCTTCTGTCAATATCTGTCTCACACACACGGCCAATCAGAGTCTCTGCTTGTGGTCCGGTCTCTTTATAATCAGTGATGCGATCCTCCTGCTGGCCAGTCAGCGTCATGTCCGTGGGCAAATCCTTGCAATCTTCACAGGGAGGTTTGTCAGGGGCTGATGCTGGTGAGTTGGTGTCCTGTGTTCCTTCAACTGGACTGATAGTTCTGGTTGGCTCAGGAGACGGCTGAGAGTTCAAGACAGTCTGATTTTGTTCATGGAGGTTGTAGTCTAGAACAGAGAAACAGAAAAGGGTTCAACTGTGTTTTTGTTATTTATAAAAATGAAAGATACTTTAATGTGTACCTTTGGTCAACCACATGTTTTGTTGACCTATATTCTTTTGTTTATCTTCTTGTTCATCTGTTCATTCATCCGTTTGTTCCTTCATTTGATTCTTCGTTCATTTAATCATTCATTTCTTACGTTCTTTAGTTCACTCACTCATTCATTTGTTAGTTCAGCATTTTAATTAGTTTGTTCGTTCATTTATTCTTCTGTCATTAGGTCGATAATTTATTTGTTAGTTCATTCTTTCATTAATGTGTCTGCTCATATTATCATTCTTTCCTTAATTTGTTTGTCTATTCATTATTGTTTGTTCATTCAATCATTTCTATGTTAATTCGTTCATTTATTTGTTTGTCGATTCGTCCATTCATGTTAGTCTGCTCAAAAGCTCATTATTAGGTTCTTTCATTATCACACAATTATTCTGTTTGTTAATTTAACCTTGTGTTCATTAATTCAATAATTAGTTAACATATTCATTCATTAGTTTAATTCATTCATTTGTTTGTTTGTTCATATGCTCATTCTTGTGTTCAGTTTGGCCATTAAAGGTGCATTGCGCAACTTTTCATGTTAAAAATACCTGTTTTTCTATCCTATACATGCTTAAAGAACTGCCTGATGGGCTGAATGAGCCCTTCTCTGCGCACTGAGATTGCCTCTATAATCCTGTACAGTAAAATATATAAGAGGGATTCGGGCTCGAATTTGAGACTGGGCGTGACGTCATGCGCGTTCAATCTCACCAGGCTATGTCTCGCAGGTTTGTGTATTCGCCGGCGCCGCCATTCTCCGCATCAGCGAAGACAACTCGTGCGTCAAAGGTAGAAGATGGATTCAAAGAGACCGGCTTGTAGTCCATTCCAAACCCCAACGCAAACTCCACGTAAAGTAAAGAAAAGAAAAATTTTGTCTAGTGCCACCAAAAGGTCCAAATTGGAGTCAGACAGGCGTCGGAGTAAGACGAGAGTCAACCTCGGGAAGGCATTCAACAAATGGAGAGATCTCCGGTCTGCTCTTGGTCTCAAACGGGATCCTCAGTTGGCTTTTTTCTTGATAAAACGGTAAGATATAGCCCAGTCTCTAATGTCTGATACGGCCAATCTATGTATGACAACACATGACGATGCGTAAAATGTGTAACTAATGCTTTAGCGTAAGCTAAATACATGTACAATCAGAATTGGTTTTACTACCATTGTTAGTGAACAGTTTCATAAACTAGGAATTGTGTTCGGAAGAATAGTACAACATGAAACATAAAACATATCCAATAAAAGCGTGTGGTCCATGAGCGTGCACAACTCTGGTTGCAGTTTCGCTTGTCGCCAGAGGGGGCGTAGTTCTGCAAAAACTCAGAGACTTGCGTTTTGCACCTTTAATTAATTCATGTATCCATTAATTTGTTCTCTTTTAAACAGGGTCTCTGTTGGCCGTCACCTAAACAGGGCGTGTCCACGTATCTGTCCTCGAAGATGATTGGCAGGCTGTTCCAGTCTCCGTCAATGTCCAGGCATTCCACAGGAAGTGGAGGCATTCGGAGCAGGTAATCAGAGTTGCGCATCTCTGTGGCCACCTGTGCGTGTCTGTTGATACTGTCATGAGGGATACACAGCGCTTTCAGTCAGTATTTCTTGGCTCACATCATGTGTATGTATGGCACAGTTACTATTCTTATTTATAGCAGAAATACAAATCAAACAAAACTATGCTATATGAATATGGCACCATGGTATTAAAGTCACATATCGCCACAGTACTTTTTAGTGCAGTAGTAATAATTCAGCCCGATCTCACGGCAATTCGTACGAATTTTACGAGGTGGCTAATTCGTACTAATTCATACGACCTCACTCGTACAAATTCGTACGATTTTTGCTAATTCGTACATATTTTACGAGTTACCAAATTCGTATGAATTTGTACGAATGACCTACCCCTGACCCCGCCCCTAAACCTACCCATCACGTGGGTTTAGACAAATCGTACAAATTCGTACGAGTGAGGTCGTATGAATTAGTACGAATTAGCCACCTTTTAATCACTCGTACGAATTCGTACAAATTGGTCGTGAGATAGCGTTGTAATAATTAGCTTTAATTAGAACAAGTGAGGTTATGTCTCCGTTTTGATAGCTAGGTAGAAAACTAGAAAGACAGACACTATAATAAAAGACTCACAGCTCCTCCTGAAATGTTAGCGAGGACTCTTTGGGATGCTCCGTGAAGAAATACGCTTCAGAAAATCTCCTGACCTGCACAAACACACACATTTAATATGTACACAAATCATTTGACAATGACACATTCTTTGTTGTTCGTTAAGATTTTTCAATCAGGGGCACTTTTAAATATTCTAATCGACTCTTGAAATAAAATGATAAATTGTACATACCTAATAAACTGAACATAATAGTATTTTTTAACATGGAAAGTAGAATATGTGATTTAAACACTTTTTAGTTGTTAAAAAGCCTGTGTGAAAACAAAAAAGTTACCTTTTAACTATCTTTTCTTTAAAAAAAAGGTTTTATTGAAGAATCACCAATTTCACAATAAAAATAAGTATACTGTATAAGTCATTGTAGATCATCAGTCATTTCAACTATTCTCTCTTGCAGGCACATTTTGAACGCATTACACCAAAAGCGATTAAAGCGATATATAAACAATCTTTTTGTACCAAATGCAATAAGTCTTTTGAATAAGAGGAAGTAAATGTGAATATTTTAATTCTTATGTATGTATATTGTGTATTGATAATTGTTTTGTGATTGTATGGTGAGACCAAAGACCAATTTTCAGCCAAGGCTGAACAATAAAGTACTACTAACTAACTACAATCTTGTGTCTTATATTTCTTTTTTAAGATCAGACAGTGAGCAGAAATATTTTATAAAAAGACGAGAGACCAATAAAGCCGCTCTAGTAATAAAGTCAAAATTGGATTCATCTCTTCATCTTTTTCATCATTATAATAACTCACAGTTCTGTAATTAAAAGCTGAGCTCTCCTGTGGGTGGAATTACTGCATGTATCAGAAGAGATAAAGTTTCTATGTCTAATACATTTCTCTAGAGAAAACAGAGTTGTGAGGGATGCTGGGAAGAGTTGGAGAACCGCAGTTTATTGCAGGATTTATCCTACAGTAATATAAATCAGACTGACTTGAGACAAATTCTACTGTTAGCAATCAGGGAAATATGTCAATTTGTTGCTGGAATTATGAAGTAAGCTATTGTATTTGAATTTGCATACTTCATAAAGCAAAAATGGACTTGTCACATTCGAAATTTACCCTGTTTTTCTTATTTAGTATATTTGTTTTTTTTTCCAGTCAAAATATCTAACAAAAAATCTTAAATCAAGATGCATTTAATAGACAAGTAAAATTATGTAAGATATTATCTCTTGTTTTCTGAGAGAATACAATTTAAATTAAGTGAGTTTTTGCTTAAAACAAGCAAAATTATCTGCCGATGGGGTAAGAAAAATAATCTTGTTTAATATCTTACATCATTTTACTTGTCAAATGCATCTTGATTTAAGGTTTTTTAGATATTTGAACTGAAAATAGGAAAAGCCTTTTTTTCAGTGCCTGTATGGCAGGGTAAATTCAGGGTTAGAAAAGAAGAACTATGGGTGTTGAACATGCTCATAAAAGTCCCAACTCTGAGTGAAACATGATATTTAAAGGTACACTATGTAACTTTATTTTCGTTCAAAATTGACAACATTTAGATAATGGGTCAATACATCATCAATGCTTCTTCCAAAGCGTGTCTTTGTCTTACCCTGATTCTGTCACGATAAATACGGGTGAACCCAAACGCAAACAGGATGTAAAACAAATAGTTTATTTACTAACAAACAGGGAAAACAAAACCCACGAGGGGGCAACCCGTAGACAAAACACAAAGAGACTAAACTAGATTACGACAAACAATAAGACAATATTCTGGAACAGGAAACTCACAGGATATCACAAGGTCTCAAAACTCACAATGATCACACAGAGGTAAGGATCACAATGAACCGACACAAGACAGCAAACACAAGGAGACTAAATAGGAGAACCAATAAAGGGAACAGGTGATGCTAACTAGACAATCATGACAAACGAGGATAACAAGGAGGCGGGGTAAAGTAACGAGACACACAAGCACATGGCCCAAACGAAAGACCATGTGTTGTACACAAACATGGGTCTGCCATGATCCTGTCTCAGAACTAGAGAACTCAAGGACAGAATCATGACAGAACCCCCCCCTTAAAAAGCGGCTTCCAGACGCTTCTCAAGAGGACACAAAACTCAAGACATAGACATGAACCAACACAACATAACCAATAATAACAAAGGCATACATGAAAACACAATGACAGGATTAGGGTGAAAAATTAGGAACAGTAAACAAGGGAGGGGAGGCGGAGGCACAACAAAGTTCACGGGAGACTGTCCAGGGTGGGTGAGTGGGACGGTGGTCTTGGGTCTACGGGATGTAGACTTCTGACGAGGGACCCGGACGGGTTTGGGTGGGGAAATGGTAGACACAGTCCGGGGTTGAGCCTTAACAGGGAGGACCGGGGAAACATACAGAGGCTGGGTGACAGTGGGAACTGCTGCAACTGGCAACGGAACGAAGACAAGAGGTGTAACCGGTGGTAAGTAATCGGGAACAAGAGGTGCTGCGGCGGACGGTGGCGCTGGGACAGGACCCACGGTCTCATCTACAGATTCGGAACCCACACACTCTATCATTGACTCAGAAACAGAGTTCTCTGTAGTAACCATGGAGACCGCTCCCTCTGCAGCCGACTTGAAACCCGCACTCTCCTCTGCTGTGGACGCAGGACTTGAGGATAAAACAGGTCTGACAGGAACTTCCAGAATCTTTACAAGACTAGACAAGTAGTTAGATAAAATCTTGGCCGTAACTGCAATCGGCATGTCCTGAGGAGCTGATACTGCCCGGAGGAGTGCTTCTGCAGCTGTGTCGGCCGCCGCCCTCTCTGAAACTGACTCTGAGATATCGTTACCGGCAACAGACTCGAAACCCATCTTCACCGTTGCAGGATCCGGAATAATCCTCTCTGCAGCAGCCTCAGGAACAACTCTCACCAGTGCTGACTGGGGACCTGCGCTCTCTGCAGCAGGTTCGAGAGTCCTCGTGGACTCAGGCGAAGACAGAGACGGAGAACAGAAAGTTCCCCTCTTCCTCCTCTTTCTTCTCGGCCGCGGAGCAGAGGCCAAAACCGGACTTGAGACCGGTTGGAAAGACTCAGAGGGAACCACACCAAGAACTGTCGTCTCTGTGGAGGATGACTCTGAAGCCGACTCCCACGACAGCCGTCTCTCTCGTTTTCCACGAAGACTTATAGCTGTGGAGGATGCTTCAGAAGTCGCGCTGGGACAAGTCTGGCTCACCAACGTGGCCACGGTGAGGATGCGACCCTCCGGAATCACGGGCAGCATACCAGGTGATGACGGTCTGATGGAAGTCCGTGATTCCTTCTGTGCCAAACAGGTAATCATCTCCTGGAACGGATGACGAACCAGTCTCTCCCGTTCCGCCAGAGGAGGCGGCTCATTTAGGCCCGCGATGAGGTAGCGTTTTAGTAGGGCGTCAGGCAAGAAAACCCTCCTTTCGTCCACGACCCGGGCGTACTGTCTCAGAGACCACTCACCCTGGGGAGGGAAGGGAAGTTTGCCCCTCCTACTATCAGCAATCGTCTCCTGCCACCATTGTACAAGAGGGTCCGAATACTGATCAAGACGTGGTGGCGTACTGTTTGCTGGGTTCTGGTATGGTCGGTTCATTCTGTCACGATAAATACGGGTGAACCCAAACGCAAACAGGATGTAAAACAAATAGTTTATTTACTAACAAACAGGGAAAACAAAACCCACGAGGGGGCAACCCGTAGACAAAACACAAAGAGACTAAACTAGATTACGACAAACAATAAGACAATATTCTGGAACAGGAAACTCACAGGATATCACAAGGTCTCAAAACTCACAATGATCACACAGAGGTAAGGATCACAATGAACCGACACAAGACAGCAAACACAAGGAGACTAAATAGGAGAACCAATAAAGGGAACAGGTGATGCTAACTAGACAATCATGACAAACGAGGATAACAAGGAGGCGGGGTAAAGTAACGAGACACACAAGCACATGGCCCAAACGAAAGACCATGTGTTGTACACAAACATGGGTCTGCCATGATCCTGTCTCAGAACTAGAGAACTCAAGGACAGAATCATGACAGATTCACTATGGTATGCTTATTATAAGTGTATATATTTTAGACTCGTCGGGATGGTTTTCGTGGGAAATTGCGTAATACGTAACTTGCCCGTTTACTTTCACACGTGTATGGTGTGGGAGTGGCATAGGTTAGTTGCCACAACGAGTAAGAAAGGTTGACATGGAGCAGCTAAATCTCGAACCTCTGGGGAAAACGCAGAAGAGGAGAGTCTGCTGCCAAAAAGAAAACACGGCGATGAGAGTACCAGGACTTTAGTGGGTCTAGTAGGACCGGTTACACCTGCACAAACACTGGGATGCGCACTGTTTGTTTTTAGACTGGATATAGTCAGGTAAACAAAGTAGCAATGTTATGTCATCGTTCGTTCCTCAAGTCTGTGGAAACACGCGGCCAGTTCGCGATAGGCTCCAGTTGGCCCGGCTGAGAACTGGCCGAGAGCCAGGTCCCGCACAGGAACATGAACCGCGTCAGTGGGGGTTCACTGGATATTACAGAGTTGATTGTAAAGCATCATCTGTTGTGAAGGGTTATGGTTGTTGTAGCGCTGTGCTGGAATGTATTTTCAAGGAAGTATCGTGTCTATTAATGGGTAAAGCTACAGTAACGTCTTCAGCTCGTCAGCTTGAGATCCTCTCCTTCTAAACTGGTTATATCTCTTAAGACTAGTAGTCAATGTTTTATGAGCAGAAGTATATCCATATTCATCCGCAGAGTCATGCAGAGCCAAAGCACAACCAAAACAATGTTCTTCCGCAAAATGCGTCCAGTTTAGTTTTTTAACTCTAGAGCGCCAAAAGTTACATAGTGTACCTTTAAACAGATAAAATGTAATCAAGGACTTCCAAGACTAACATAAAACAGCCTCTCTCACCCTGAGCGTGTGGTGCTCCTGGGCCAGGTATGAGCGGATATGTGGATTAGGAACCGTGGCTTCCAAAAACTGTGTCCAAAGAGCAGACAGCTGAGCACAGAGCTGCGTCAGGTCTTTACTGATCTGTTCAGCTACCTTCTCATGGCCACTCTGCAGCTACAGAGAGAGAGAGAGAGAGGGGTCAGTCTTATTTAGTCACAGAACAATACTGATTCATGTGATGGTGTTAAATAACCTACTTCATTGCCATTAATTGTATGTTTTTACAGTTATTGGATTATGTTTCCCAAACCTGCAGTTCAATGGTCAGCTGGTTTAATGTTTCTTCAAGGGGAAGGTCCTCTGGTAACAAGAACATTAGGAAAAAGTTAGACCATGCAAAATTCCACTGACAACAAAAGTCTCATGGTAATACCATTTTACCAAGTCCCTTTGAGTACCATGTGAATACCATGATAAATGGATATGGTGATGCTTTAGTGCAGTATGTGTCAAAGTATGGTATTACCATCCATCATGTAATCGCTGTATTATGCTATTGTCAGTCCACCTGTGATGAAAATCAAGCTTTTAATGTTGTTTATATGTCTATGTGGTGTTTTTAATATGCTTTAAGACAAACCATGTGCAAATTCATAAATCAACAGCACCATATTTTCTCCTTAAAACTGCAGTGAAACAAAGACGGTCTCAAAAACGCAGTTTGAAATCGCTGGTGTTTCTGACATCACAAACTACCTTGTAACCAATCACGTCAATGTGTGATCGTCAATGAGTGGATCTCTGAGCTGGTGTGAGTGAGTGGAGGCGGGGCTCAGTTGCATATTCATAGAACCACGTATACTAAATGACTACATGAGGCAAGGGTGTAGTTACATTCAAGCTATTTTAAGGCACAAAGACATTTTTTATGTCATTTTGGTAATCACAGATGAGTTTTAAGCAATAAAATTATTGACTGCAGGGGAACTTTAAGGATGTCTGTGTTGCTGATGATATAATGCAGGGATTCCCAAAGTTTTTTTTTTCAGCCGAACCCCTTTGACTTCAAATATTTACTTGAAGTACCCCCTGAGAGTTAATATTTCAATACAGTAGTTTAACAACACATTCGCAAGTTCTTGCAGGTAAACAAATACAATATTTCATCTTTTTTTTAGTAAGTGTTTTATTTTGATGTATTTTTATTCTAAAATTATATTTCTTTTAATTTTGCATTTTCATAATTTAATTCATTATTAGCTTTTCATCACTTTTAAAGACCCTGCAGTTCACCATATTCAGATATTCATAAATATTATTATACACATAATATCATGGTTTCACCTGCTGCTACTCTGTGTTGCTTCAAAAGAAATTCATTCATAAATGAAGATTGTTATTATTTACTCGCACAGTTTTGCTTTAAACTAAAAATAAATGATTAAGCACATAGTCTTGGCTGCATTATTCTTGATTGTACTGTGAATCATTAAGTCATTAATGATGAAAAGCATGAGTGAGATTATCAAAGAATACTGACTTAAATTTTGGCCTGTTCCTCACAAAAATAATGAATGATCTACCGTACTTTTATGTTGCTGACTGTTATGGTGCTTTTGTCTTTTTTGGATCTTCTGTTTAGAATATGTTTTGTGTCCCACAGAAGAAAGAAAATCTTAGTGGTTTTAAAAGACATGAGGGTAAGTAAATGATGACTGAATTGTCATATTTTTGAGCGAACTGTCCCTTTAAATCATCCATGAGAAAGCCACATGCATTTATAGTTGAATGAGTTACATGAGAGGTAGTGTTTATACCCATCTCTTTGCGTTGCAGTTGAGGGATCTCCTTCATCAGTACTGTGTAATACGAGCGCAGAGCTCTGTGAGCCGCCAGCAACAGTTTACAGATGCGCCGGTGCCACGTGTACGCTCTCTGCAGACAGTTCTCTGATGGCACGTAAAAACTGCCCTGGAAACAAACACACACACACACAGGACATAAGGGGTGGAGGTCAGATTTTACTGCATGTCACACTTCTTGCCTGTTATTTCTGCACACACACACAACCAGGTTGCATAAATGCTGAACAAAGGTTTTCTCAGCTTTAGCACAACTTTAGTTACACAGCCACTGCTGAGTTCTCATAAATGCTCATTTAAGAGCTGAAAGCACATGCTTCTCATGACAAAAAGAGGAAAAAGGGAATAGATCATTCCTGCCTCTCTGTCTGTCTGTTTGTCTTGTCTGTCTGTCTGTCTATCTATATGTCTGTCTGCCTGTCTGTCTGCCTGCCTGTCTGTCTGTCTGTCTGCCTGCCTGCCTGCCTGTCTGTCTGCCTGTCTGTCTGCCTGCCTGCCTGTCTGTCTGTCTGCCTGTCTATCTGCCTGCCTGTCTGTCAGCCTGCCTGTCTGTCTGTCTGCCTGTCTGTCTGTCTGTCTGCCTGCCTGTCTGTCTGTCTGTCTGTCTGCCTGCCTGTCTGTCTGTCTGCCTGCCTGTCTGTCTGTCTGTCTGCCTGCCTGCCTGTCTGTCTGTCTGTCTGCCTGCCTGTCTGTCTGCCTGTCTGTCTGTCTGTCTGTCTGCCTGCCTGTCTGCCTGTCTGCCTGTCTGTCTGTCTGTCTGCCTGTCTGCCTGCCTTGTCTGTCTGTCTATCTATCTATATATCTGTCTATCTATCGTTATATATAATTTATATATAGATTAAGATATATTCTGATATAATGTATGTGTTATGTGGTTGTTAGGAGCAGCAGCTGTATGTTTATGTTTAGTTGAGCCTGAAGCTCAATAATTAGATGAAGATCAAACGCAGGGTAAAACTAAACGCAGTCAGTTTCCCAGCAGTAAAATAGAAGTGTGTATACGTGGCACTCGCTTATGGAGAACGACACGGGACGTCCTGTTGGCAGGAAGTGCACACATATACTTCTCTGAGAGGACAGACCCTCTCTGTTCAGTAGTAATGTAAACACACTGCACTGACAATTGCATTAAATTGTGTGTGTGTGTATATATAGTGTCACTCTTTGATGCATTTTGTTTGATTCGCAGTATTTTCAGTCAGAGAGAGAAAGTGCTACTTTGATCTTTTGTTCAGGTGAATGCTCATATCTTGTTTTATTATTGATTTAAAAGTTTGGGTTCAGTAAAATATATATTTTTAATGTTTTTGAAAAGTCTCTTTTGCTCACCAAGAATGCATTTATTTGATCAAAAATACAGTAATATTGTGAAATATTATTACAATTTAAAATAACAATTTCCTATATGAATATATTATAAAATGTCATTTATTCCTGTGATGCAAAGCTATATTTTCAGCATCATTACTCCAGTCTTCAGAGTCACATGATCCTTCAGTAATCATTCTAATATGCGGATTCACTGCACAAGAAACATTTCTTCTAATGCAGGGGTGATTGTGGGTCTGTTGGGCCTCTAATATGTCTTTACTGCATACTTGTGTATACTGTGTAATGTGTTTATGTTTGAGTGTAAAGATAGTGGTGAACGCTGTCATTATATGTGTGAAGCTTTGTAATCTACATTCAGTTATGTCCTTTTTACTCAAACAGATGCGTACTGAATTCAGTCTCTCTCTCTCTCTCACACACACACACACACACACACAAACATCTGCTCTGTGCTTTCTCACTTTTTAGTACTATAACAGCTGGAAAACACAGTCAATATTACACTCACATAAAACCAACATCGATCATAGATTGAGTTCATAGAGCCAAACTGAATGTAAGAAAGCTCGAGTGCAGAGTAAATATGCCACCTTGCATCGTGGGATAGCGCCATCATCACTGGGCGGCCATCTGTTTGTGGTCAACGTGTACAAATGTACAAGCACATTCATGCAATACACTACTGTATACATACAAGTACATTCAGGAGTCAGTTTGATCTAGTTTAACTCACCAGTGACTTCAATGTTTAGCAGGGAGCATATAAAACAAACGAATTTAATTTTAGGTTCACTGAAGTTTTAGTTCTCACATAAAGCTATTATATGATTCAGAAGTCTTGTAATAGACTTGTATGATACTTTTTGGTAACACTTTGAAGGGGCACTTAAGACAAAATAACTTTGCTTGTACTAACTCGAACACCTAACAGTCTACTAACACTCTAATAAGAGTTGACATGTAGTTACAAAGTTACTTATACATAGTACTAGTAGAATGTCTAAAGTGGCCCATCGAAATAAAGTGTAACCAACTATTTTCGGATGCTTTTAGAAGTTTAACACCTCCAGTCCTCATTCATTGTAATTGTGGGGGAAAACCTGACAAAGGTCATTAAATGATTAATGACCCATGCATTAAGTTACAAAATGCATTTTGCTAAATACACAAACATCAACTCATCACCCAATCAGCTTAAAGATCTAATCTTATGGCATATATAGAGAAAAGAGTATACCGAGAGGAAAGTATCACATTATATGCTTCATGGTTAAAGTAAAACTGCTGAGGAGGCTGGCGAGCGCTTATAGAAAGAAGAGAAAGAGAGAGAGAGAGAGAGAGAGAGAGAGAGAGAGAGAGAGAGAGAGGTGCTTGCTCCTCATGTTTGGAGGCCAGTAAAGCTGGGCTCGTTACGCTGATCAAACGCTGCCTCCCTCCAGTGTAACGCTGTACTTAATAAAGTGCCCTGCAGGGGGGGTGTAAACGCAGGACCCATACGGAGACGAGAGACCTCGTTACCTTTTCCTGCCGAAATGGAAATCTCCACAGGCAAGAGAAACCTCTCAATTCTTCCAATCAGAGAAAAATGCAGGGCTACTTTGTCCTCAGCTTCTGGTCAGAAAGGTCAGATTATCTATGCCGTTTAACTCTAAATGGCCCTGAATGTCTAGAGCCAGTTGAAGCAGGTATTATTGGAAAATACTTGGAATACTAGTATAATGCATATTACCGGTATGCATACTGCCTGGCATTTTTAAACGAAATAATTGCATTTCGCACCCAGTAATATGCAAAGAAAGTTTTAAAAAATGACAAAATATCCCCTTTTTATTTCACATTACATATTGTAAGGATACCTTCAATTCATTCATTACATTAAAAATGGAAGGTCAAGTTATGTTGCATTGCATTGTGGGATACCCATACATCATCTCACAATGTACTGCACATTTTGGCAAATATAATAGGCCACATGGATTTTCTATATACAGAAAATACGATATGCATAGCCTACTGCAAGAATTGTGCTATTCACACGATTCATTAAAACTCGATCATTTAAGCGCATGATTATGTGTAAAATGAGTTGTCTTGATCAGGTTCGATGTATGTGGTTACCTCTGTTGGGACAGGTTTGCAGTATCCAGCCCCAAACATCAGATTCTCCACTGACATCGCAGAGGGCGGAGCTTCGCTCTCGGGAGACCCTTTCCCCAGCCACGACCCCCTACCACTGCGCGCAAAACTAGAAGACAAATCACAGAGCGTAAGTACCTGTAGAGTTATCAATGTGTGCAGCTGTTATCAGTGGAAGGGAAGATTATTTATACTGCATGTCTGTCTGAAAACAATGCTACACACAAACATAAACCCACATGTCTGATTATTTCTTTAACGTCGGTCTTGAGAATGTTTGAGACTAATGAAGCTTCTGTTCTCTGAAATCCATTTCACGTAACAGCTGACAAACACACACACTTTGGATTTGACAGCTTTGCTTTCAGGAGGGTTCAGGGAAAGATCTAGCACTTTAAAAGCTCGGTTTGAAAGAACAGATCCACAGCAGTGAAAATACATCACATCCTGCCAGTAACACCTCCTACCAACTGGAGATCCAACAAACAATACACAGGATTTAGCAGTAAACTAGGAAACATAGCCATGAATAATACTTGCCATACACCTAATGATAAAAGTATTAAAATTAAATAAAATTAAATTAAATTAAATTAAATTAAATTAAATTAAATTAAATTAAATTAAAAAATCAGCTTTGCTATCACAGGAATAAATTACATTTTAAAATATATTCAAATAGAAAACATTTATTTTAAATTGTGATAATAAGAGACTTCTTTCAAAACTATTTAAAAAAAAATCTTACAGACACCGAAACTTTTGAATGGTATATGTAGCCCACTTTGTTAATTATATTAATAATTAAAATAAATGTAAAATATATTAAACTATATTAAAATAGGAAACAGTTATTTTAAATTGAAATAATATTTCACAATATTAACTGTTTTTTTAATATACTGTGTAATTCAGATCAGCTAAACTAAATAATACTTGCCTCGTTGCCTTAATGTCTAAATTAAATTAAATTAAATTTTTATAAAAAAAAATCAATTTCAAACTTTCATCATTAGTGGTATATGGCAAGTACTATTATTATTATTATTGATAAAACAGTTCAATATTTATAATAATGGTGTCCTTGTCTGGGACGAGGAGAAAACAATCAAATTTATAGACAAAATGCTTTTGAAAAGCAGCAAAATAAATTATGAAGGCATGGTAGTTGGTGCCCTATTGGTGATTGGCTGAGAACTGGTGGGCGGAGTTGTGTGTGATCACCTGATCAGTGGTTGGTGCAGTGCCACCAGGGAGGCGTGGACTGAGACGGAGATGACGGACAGGTGGAAGTAGTCAAACATGACGGGCAGGTGGTGGTGTAGGCCTTGGTGAGGATGGAAGTGCAAACCCAACGTCCTGCTGCTAATCAGAGGCACTGAGGGGAGATCCGCCAACCTAACACACAAAGACATGGACAAAATAAACATCTAAAGCTTTCCTGTGTAGCTCAAACAGGAGATCATGATGCAAGCAGCGCCAAGGTCATGGGTTTGATTCCAGGGAAAGCACGAACTGACAAAATATAAATGTGTACCTTGAATGCAATGTAATTCGCTTTGCATAAGCAAATTACAAACTCCGTTCATACGCATGTAAACGATGGAGACCGGAAACAGAACATAATATGTCTTTATTGTGTGTAATTTTGCGGTGAAATTTTCTGGTTCAACTCATCCATTTAAATAAAAAAATAAAAAAAATTATTTAACCTGTACTTGTGATTTGATATGTAAAAAAAAAAATCTAGAAATATTTAAAATAAGTTATATTTTTATACAGTATTAAATATGTAATATGGGAAATATATAACAAATTATAGTGAATTCAAGATATATATTTAAAAAAAAAAATTCACAGAAAAATGGAAAAGGTACAGGTAATTTTCTGCCAGGACATTTCCCGTTACGTTTACAGACATTTCCTGTAACCCTAAAACACAACACGGTACAAAGCGTAATTCAAAATATGAAGGAAAAAATCCTGAGATGGAGAGAGAGCATGAGGAGGAGAGTGAGATGGACAGGTAGAGCAGTTAATGAGCTGGTCTCGCTGACGTCCCAGCAGAGCTCAGGGGCCACGGGGCCACGGGGCCCGACCGCTGCTCTGGGGCTCCGCTGCAGGGAAGAGGCTCAAGTAATTGCTCTCATTTGTGCTGCTTTGAGATAGGTGTGTAGGTGTGTGTGTGTGTGTGTGTGTGTGTGTGTGTGTGTGTGTGTGTGTGTGTGTGTGTGTGTGTGTGTGTGTGTGTGTGTGTGTGTGTGTGTGTGTGTGTGTGTGTGTGTGTGTGTGTGTGTGTGTGTGTGTGTGTGTGTGTGTGTGTGTGTGTGTGTGTGTGTGTGTAAAAGAGTATTTTAAGCTGAGGGCCATCTGTGCAGTTGCTCTTACTGTTCTTGATTAATATACGCACACATGCACACACACACACACACACACACACACACACACACACACACACACACACACACACAAACACAGATGATACAAATTACAGGAAAGAGGGAGGCAATGCCTGTGTTTGGAATGGAATACTTGCATATTTAGTTTTTAATTTCATGTGAAATAGTTTGCAAATGTTTCAAATGAATTTATTCACTGTTCTCTCACTACCTCATAAAGTTGCATGTTTAATTCAGTGAGTTGTTTTCACCTTCTGAATGTTTTGTGTAACTATATGACTTACTAAATGTACTGAATAAAGTGTGCTATGTGAAATACCGTCTCCCATAATGCAATGCGCTTGATTTGATCTTCCTTTTTCACTGTGATGGATGAAACAATTTCAGAGGGGATTTGTATCTCGTTGTTGGCACTGATGCATTGAACTGCCAAATGTAAAGATATTTTTATTCAAAATTGGATAGATTAATTTTGACAAACTATTTTCTATCAAATGTCGTAGGCGTTTACACTTTATTTTAAGGTGACGTAGTTATATTGTACTTACTAGTACTGAGTAATATTAATTAACTACATGTACTTGAGTTACAGTTAGGGTTTGGTTTAGGGTTAGTTACTTGTTAATTATGCATAATTTACAGTTATAGGTAGTACATGTAGTAACGTGCAACTACGTCACCTTAAAATAAAGTGTTACCTAGAAGGCTACTATTCCATACCAAACATACACAAAAGTGTGTAAAAAATTTGGGGTCAGTAAGATTTTTTTTTATTTTTTTTTATAATAATTTTATTTATCTACATTAAATAGATCAAAAGAGACAGTAAAGACAAAAAAACTCACAGATTCCACAAAAAATATTAAGCAGCACAACTGTTTTTTAACATTGATAATAATAATACATGTTTCTTGAGCAGCAAATTAGCATATTAGAATGATTTCTGAAGCATCATGTGACACTGAAGACTGGAGTAATGATGCTGAAAATTAAAACATATTCAAATAGAAAATAGTTATTCTGAATTTTAATAATATTTCACAATATTACTGCTGTTTATAAATAGCAATGTAGTAAAACAACTGTAATGTAGTCTGCAATGTTAAAAATCATGGTTGATACTGCTTCATTTTCATGCATATCTCTGTACGTGGAAGATCAAGTGCATTGCATTGTGGGATACAGTACCCAGTGCAGTAAGCTCTGCGTGTGTACTAAACATTTAGGGAAAGTAGTAGGTCATTCCCTGAATACTGAAGATCCACATACTGTGCAGAGTACCAACCGCATATAGCAAAATTAACATGATAGTACGCTATTCTGAACACAGGCAGGGATGATGCAGAGGGAGAAAAATGTGGAAAAGTGAGAGAGGGACTCACTGCTGTTCATTGTCAGTGAAGTGCAGATCTAGTTTGAGCTGGACGTCCACCTCACTCATGGCTTCCTCCACCTGAGAGAAACACATCACCACACCTGTCAGTCAAAACCAACTGCAGGTTTCAAAAACAAAACACCATCTTTTCTACAGCGTTCATGTTGTGATTGGTTGGTGTTGTGGTGGTGTTGAGTGGTTGCATTATGTCTTTATGATCTCTATAGTTCGATTCCTAGATATGGCGGGACCCTTCAAGTGATTTAAGGTTATATTCATTCCACATGCACTCATATGTCAAACATGTAACTGTTGTTTCTCATGTGCAAAAATAAGATGAAACATACACTTACGACACACGTCTAAAGGACGAAAACGCAAATCTGAGCAGGCTGAGGTAAAAGAACAGCGTTGAAACAGTCTTTTAAAACATTTGAATGCTCTGCTGTCAGGGAAAGTTCATTTTCTACATGAACTAGTTCAAAGTTCAGTTCACAAATTTTAAAATGAACCAGTTCAGTTCATAGTTCATACTTCAAAAAATGAACTAGTTCATAGTTCTTTTTTCCATATGTTGCTGCGAGCTTTTTTTATTTATTTTATTATTATTGCCACAGCCCATATACAACCACAGACAGCAATTATTTTATTGACGGCCAAAGTTTGCACAGAAATGTAAGATTTTTCCCATCGTCACCGACCTTGGCCCAATCCCAAATGGCACACTTCATGTGCACTTTCGGTCTTGTGGACTTACAATGGCTGCCGCGTGCGCGTGTCCGTTAAGTCCGTGAGACCGTAGTGTGTCCCATTTGTCATTTTTAGATCTCAGAAGGGTGCTCGCGAGCGCCCCGTGTGGTCGATTTGCGCCCTTGATGCGCACTTTTGCCGAGCCCGTGCTGATGAGGACTCCACAGCAGACTTCTTCCCAACAGTCAAAGCGGCATTACGTTACGAAAGTGCGGACTCAGAGGAAGACCGCAAGTGCTTAGGGTTCCATTTGGGACAGGGCCCTTGTCATACAACTCGTTTAAATAATCATACGACGCCTCCTCGCTAGCTGCTTGATGACGCATGCGGCGGCCGCGGTGCGACACTGGTGGTTGGTGTTGCCAGATTGGGTGTTTTTTCCGCTACATATTAAAGCAGCACTAAGTAGGAATTCCGTTTTTGTCAAACAGCGACCCCTAGAGTCGCTGTGGAGTACTTGTACTGTCGTGAATAGCACTCACGCAGAGATGGCTCGCACTCACGGCCGGATCCCCTCCCCCTGTACACCGGTACCTGTTCAGTAGGATGGACGCTGTAACGAGTGGAAATAAGGTATGGCCCCTTTAAGAGCTGCGCGCGCCCTGTTTAACTGTCGGCAGTCTGTATTGTATGTGCGCCTCGAACACCACATGTATACGGCGCCGGGTTATTTCTGTTTGATGCTCATTTTATCAGAATTTTATCAGATCTGTTTTTTGCCGTAAAGCAATTCGTTACCTCGCGAGACCTGATATCACACGATACTTCCTAACACTGAGGTCGGCGGCTCGCCGGCTCAAAGTTGCAAGGGTGGTTTTGCGGCTCACAGGCACCAGGGGGGTGCGAGACGACCACCATTCAACACGAAATCAGTAATATAAACATTACAATGACTCCAACGCTGTTCGGTTAAGGTAAAAAAGTTACTTAGTTCACCTTTAAGGCCTGTTTACGCGTGTTTTAGCCGGGTTTTCGCCTGGAAGGCTCTATAGAAATCTGGCACCCTATTGAACACAGTTGAACTGAGAGAGCGTGCGTTCACACTTCACAGACACCAGAATGAACGAGTTCACCGTAACGTTCATCAGGCAGTAATTCAGTACGTTCAGTTCACGTTCGCCCAAAATATGAACGAGTTCATGAACTATCGTTCATTGAACACGTTCAGGCACAACAGTGTCCGCTGTGTTATGCGACCTCATGCCGAATACAACACTGTGATTGGATTAAAAGAGTTCAGAGACTGATGACATAAATGCGCACTCTCCAGCCACTGGAGCCAATAACCACTTCACACAATCACATGTTTATGTGCTCTCACATGTGCACACATATTTAAGGACCCTTCAAATAAAAACATGGTTTTAGCATGTGTTATTCCCACAGATTTCCTGTATAAACAGAACATGTGACGTAGACAGAAGGTTTCACCCCGTTCTGATAAACTGGTGTACTCCTCCGCCGATCTTTGAAAACAAACAGGGCTGCCCCAATTATTGATACACGGATTGATTGAACTCACACTCTGGGGAAATGGAAAGCTATTTTTAGACCTCTTATCTGAGGGGGAGAGACAGAGAGTGAGACAGGGAGAGCGGGCAGAGATAACTGCTTCAAGGTTAATAAGAAAGATGGCCATAGAAATCTGATTAGACACTCTCCCACCCACAACTCCCTGCCTCTCTCTGTCTCTCTTTTTCCCATTTCCCATATTTCATAATGTCTGAAATGAGCTGGTGTATCAGCAGGGTATGATTAGTCATAATATTTGAATATAATAAAGTGTGTAATAATATAATTCAATGCTGTGAAATAATAAGTAAACCCCATGAAAAGTATTTTTCTTTGTTTTTGTTTATGAAAATTTTTGGTCATACTGATAGTGGACTGGCATTTCATCAATGTTGATCAATAAAAGGCAATAGAAATAAAACAAATTGCACTTGGATTTTACATTTTGTAACAACTTACATGAACAAAGATTCTTGTGTGGGAAAAAGTTAGTACACCCCTCATTAAAGGTGCAGTAAGTGATTTCTGAGAAACACTGTTGATATTTGAAATCAACCCACACAAACACACCCCTCTCTTCATTGCTCCACCCCCAAACTGCACAAACACTCAATGCAATAGTGGATATCTCTTTATCATAGCTGAGGCTAAGGAAGGAAGATCAAAAGATGAACATACAGTGCACAAGAATATATTCAAGAAAGAGTTGGTTATTGCACTAGGAAGCTTTCATTCCTCTGACCTTTTCTCTTTTGTAATGTCTCTCAGCCATCTCTCTTTTTACAGTCTTTCTTCAAATCTCCCTCTTGCTCACTCTCTCTCTCCTCCCCCATCACGAGTGGACACGCCCCCTACTGCTGATTGGCTGTTGTGCTGCTCGGTTCAATCCACTTTCAACAGTGTTTCTCAGAAATCGTCAGATACTGTACAGTACAGTAAAAGCTCGTATTTTGTTACAAAATATTTCTATTTCAAATAAATGATCTTTTAATCTTTCTATTTACAAGACTCCTGGAAAAAAATGTTCCACTATTTTCCACTACAAAAATATTAATACACAAATAAAAAAGAGTTCTACACAATTTGTGTAGAAACAGTTCTACACAAATATAATGTTTTCAACATTGATAATAATAAGAAATGTTTCTTGAGCACCAAATCAGAATGATTTCTTCAGGATAATGTGACACTGAAGTCTGGAAATTTAAATACATTAAAGGGTAACTAAACCCCTGGTCAGAGCCTGACTCCACCCACTGGCAATATTTGAAAAAATGCTGGAAAAGTGGGCGGAGCCCAGCGGAGATAAAGGGGATGAACGGATACTCTATCCTGATCGTTTTCAATACTCGCAATTCCAACTCCTGACTCGCTACAGTGGTTTTGACGAAACAAGATGGTTTTTAAACTGCCATGGGCGGGGTAGCTCGTACCAAGGGCGTGGTAAGCTGAAACCTGCTTACGTCAGCTCTCACCGCTACCGTCACGAACTACCGCAAACATCCAATATGGAAAATTCAACTGCAGTAGTCACCGTTCAACCTGAAGAGGTTTTTGGGATGTTTTTACACCATATATAGAATTAAAACACTTTATACCCAAAGTCAAAAAAGTTACTTGAATCAATGAACAGCACTAATAAAGACCCAGTCTTACAGATCATTAACTAAAAAAAAGTTGGTTTAGTGTTTAGTTACCCTTTAAAATAGAAAACAGTTATTTTAAATATTTTAAAAATATAATTTCACAATATTATTGTTTTCACTATATTTTTATCAATTCAATGCAACCTTGGTGAGGATAAAAAAAATAAAGTTTTGAACGGTAGTGTATGCAAGTTTCCACCCTATAATATTTGCGATTTACTTCTGCGTATTTTAAGTTAGAAGCATTTTGATTGAAGTAGGAACAAGTTCTTCATATTCCATCTCACGCTGTATTCTGTGTAGCCGATTTTTTATAGTGGGATTTGAACCTACAACCTTTCAGCTACCAGCCCAGTTTTTTGTCAATACTAGGTTGCTGATACCATAATCCACAGCATGAGCCTCACTTCTGTTCTCAGAGCAGCGGGACACTCACCCTCTCACCGTCCAGCAGCAGGTGCACTCTGAAGCTCATGCGGTCCTCCAGGGTCACCTCCTCATTCCTGTACAGGATCTGAAAGATCCGACTGAACACTCCGCCATCGTGAACCCCTGCGCTGCTGAAACTGCACTCGCCTGCCCGGAGGAAGACAGACAGACAGAGAGACGGAGAGAAAGAAGGTAGATTATTTTCTCCTCCATTCACATCAAAGCATCTCCAGAGAGAGAGAGAGAGATTCTCCACTCTGTGCACATCAAAGCACGTTCAGTGATGGTTCCCAGCAGAAAGAGAGATGTAGACCTGTTTCATTCATATTCAGTGTGTTGTTTTCTGACAGTGTTTGGCAGGACTGATTTTGTGTGTTTGTGGGGCTATGAAAAATAAAAAAATCAATTGAAACACTTGTGGTTATGTCAGAGCATGGCCTGTAGGAATACAATTATTGTATATCTCAATCTCAAAGTCCTATTATAGGTATTATATTATATTATATTTATTATATTCACACACAAAAAAAAAATAGTTAAGTAATGTTGCAGTGCAATGTTTATAATTGTTTTAGAAACCACACACAACAAATTTACAAACTTTTTGTAATTTATTTTATTTAGTTAATTAATGTCGCAATGCAATTTAAAAAAAATGTTTAAGAAAACAACCCAAAAAGTGCAATGTTTTGTCATTTGTTTTATTTCATTAAGTTATGTTTCAGTGCAAAGTTTTAAAAATGTTAAATGTTCTGTCATTTATTTTATTTTATTACATTTAGTTAAGTAATGCTGCAGTTCAATAATTATAAATGTTTTGGAAACCACACACAAAAACACACTCTTTTTTAAATTGATTTTATTTTATTTAGTTAAGTAATGTCGCATGCAAAGTTTTACAAATATTTTAGAAACCACACTTACCAATTCGGGATGCGCCCGAGGTTATGTTAGTAACCAAGACGTTTTCTAGATAATTACATATAGCCTCAAAAAGTAAAAAAAATAAAATAATAATTTACCATAAAAGGCATGTTTAAAATGCACATTCTGTATATATATATATATATATATATATATATATATATATATATATATATATATATATATATATATATATATTGATTAGGATGAAATGGTAAGAGAATCATGTTAGTCAGCTATGATTAGCCTACATTTATATCCAAAATATAACTAGGCCACATTACAATGTTTGTGGAATGTTTTTCGGATGTTTTTAGCCTTAAAGACTAAATACTGTGGCAGAATACTGTAACATGACTGTAAAAATATTGTCAATTTTAACACGTGACAGTCCCTGGTCAACATTTGGAACAACAGGAGGGTGAGTAAATGATGACAAATCTTTCATATTTGAGTGAACTCTTTTCATTTCTCCAGTTGAATGTTTAGCAGAAACATATCTGAGAAAAGTTTCAAGAGCAACATAAGAGCAAGGAAAGTTTCCAAGGAGAGAAAATCACGAATCTGTCCATCAAATCCAGCATTACTCGTCCTGTTTTTCTCTAGCCACTAAAACAGCCACCATCAAGGCCATAACCATGAATCGGTGGCCACTGGCTCCACATCCACCCGGAGAGAGACTGAGATCTCGTCTGTGACGGATGACAGCACCTCAGTGGGGTTTCTCTTCAGTGGAGAGGATGCTAGCGTGTGTCAGAGCAGAACAGCGAGGGTCTCGTGTGAAGACAGACCCCTGCTGAGTCTGTCTGTCTCTCTCTTTCTATATCTTTCTTCCTCGCTGCGTGCCACCAACACAGATCTGCAGTGTGCCAATGCCTCAGAGACACAGAGAGAGAGAGTCGGAGAGTAGAGTCGAATCTTGCCAGAGGAGTCATGGTGTGTGTTTGATGGAGGGGATGATTCAGAAACCGAGAAAAAAAGATGATGGATCAGGTCAGTGTGTTTCTGATGAACACGAAAGAGAGACTATTTCGAGCCGCCTGACAGCAGTGTGGAAATTCACAGCACTGCACTGTAATGCGGCATATTGTATAATCTATAATATTCCTTAAAGGGATAGTTCACCCAAAAAGGAAAATGTTGTTGTTAAAAACCTGGATGACTTTTAGAGTAAGCTAAGCGAATATCCTGGACACTATTTTCAATATAATAAACATAAATGAGGCCAAAATAATGAAATGATCAATAAAATTGATCCTAAAGGTAGCCCATATGACTTGTGCACTAAATGGCAAGTCTTTTGAAGTCAAATGATAGCTTTATGTGAAGAACAGACATTTAAGACTTTTTTTTAAGACTTCCGACTTCAAGACTTAAAGAGGATCTATAATGCTTTTTTTACACGTTCAGCTTTCTTAAGTGTGTAACGTTGCTGTTTTAGCATGACAACGGTCTGCAAAATTACAAAGCACAAAGTCACACCAAAGGGAGTTATTATTTCTGAACTTCCTGCAATGCCTCTATTGTAGTTTTCTTCCAGGTATTTTGGTACAAAAATGTGGTAAGGAGCGTGACATTTCCGAAACACACTCAAAGCGGTTCACCAATCACAACACACTGGTCCAGCCGACCAATAAGAGCACATTGTGGTTTTTGGAAGGAGGGGCTTAATAGAGAAAGGAATTAGACAGTCAAGCATTCAAGCATGAGAACACGACTTGAAATAAAGGCTCTGAAAAGGGGATACTAGGTCCCCTTTGCGACTTCTTTTTTTGTGTGACTTTTTCAGACTTTAGCACATTTCTGAAGAAGCTGCAACCTCTGATTTATGATAAAATTATTCTTTTGAGTTCAACATTTTTATTGAATCAATCACAACTTGAACTGTTTGAGTTCTCAAGTTCAACTCACTCAGTGATCCAGTCAGTTAACCAGTTAATAACCCACTCAATGACTTAATTATCAATTTGTTCCTCGTGTAACCTGTCCTACTCGACCCGCTCCGAGTGGGATTCGAACAAGGATGCTAAAGACTGCAGCTTCTAGCATCAGTCGCTAGCTCGCCTCTTGAGGCCAGGGCAGTGAGGTTTACACGCACAGATCTTACTGGCCTATGTTAGTAACACTCACCTCCCTAAACCTCGCTCCCATCCGGGTCACGGCACCAATGCAACCCCTCTGGTTCTATTCGCACCGCTCCGAGCGGGATATGAACCTGTGTTTCCGGCATGGGAGGCAGGCACACAAACAAGGACGCTAAGTGCGCCTCTAGAGATCAGGGGAGTGAGGTTTACCTGCACAGCTCTCACTAGCTGGCCTCCGTTACACTCATCCCCTAAACCTCACTCTCACCTGGGTCACGGCACCAAATTTAATCGGTTTTACTCGATCTACTCCGAGCGGGATTTGAACCCGGGTCTCCGGCGTGGGAGGCGGGCGCGCTAACAAGGGGGTTAAAAACTGCTGCCGCTAATACCTCATAAGGGCAGGGGAGTGCTACACCTACACAAAGCTACCATATGACTTCAGAAGACTTGGAATATCATGCACAAGTCATATAGGCCACAGAGACCCAAGCATTGATATCCATTCGTTTTTTGTTGTTGTTTTTTTAGCCTTAAACATGTCTTTAGGAAGCCATTAGAAACTAATTTTAAAACTATGTTAAGGCAAAATTTGCATTGAACTATAATTTGGAAAACATTGCAAACTTTCACTACTACATTTTGATACAGTAAATGAAAGTTTGGAATTCATAACACAATTTAAAAAACATAAACAAATTCAAGACATTAAGCATTTTGCCATCACTAGACAAATTTAAAAAATAATAATAAAAAAAACATGTCTTTGTTAATAGACTAAATATATTTGTTCCAAACGTGTTAAGAATAGTGTTTTTCCCATATCTAGTCAAATTAGAATAACCGTGTAATTCTGCTATGCTGAGACTCTTAGACTACTTTTATGGTTATTTTGTGTCTTTTTGCGTTTTGTGGTTCTTTTGTGTCTCCAATATTCAAAATTTCTCCTTTTGTGTTTCACAGCTGAAAGAAAGCCAAACGAGTCTGTAACAGCTTGGCGGTGAGTAAATGAGAGCATATGCTTCTGGTTGTATTGTTCTAGTGCTGATACTGATCCAACATTTGTCATATATGCAAAACCTTTTGATACAGGAAGATGTTTTTTGAGCAACATATACAAAGTATACTTGTTAATTTATTTGTCGCTTGTATAAGAGTGTCTGCTAAACGAACAGATGTAAATAATCTAAAAAGCGTGCGGGGGGTGGGGGGTTCATTTCAATTTCAATTCATTTTGGTACCATCTTATGTATTTCACAGCAACTCCTGCAAATACTGTTAGGATGGTGTTTGTGGACACAGCAGCACGGGATTATGAATCAGGACAGTGTGTTTCTGATGAGCATCACAGAGAGACTGAACAGGACAGTTTCTGCTGCTGTCTGAGTGCAGTATGGTAATTCACTGCACTGCAATATGACAGATTGTACAGTCAGAATTAGCATTTTAGCTCATGTCTTTATGTTTTATTATCATATGATGTGGCATGTGATTCATTCTTTTCATACTTATAATATTGTCCGTGTTGTATGAAGCTGGAAAGGAAGCTGGAAGTGTTACCTGTGGAGATTTGAATGCACTGTGTCGCACGCTTTACCTTTTTTACATGTGATAATGACAGGAATAATGTGCATAATTAATAATACAGAGCGGGAAGGATCCTAAGCATCTCTTGCTTAGGTTGAGGAAGAACTTGTGAGGCACGAATCAAAACGGAGTTTGTATATTTGAACAGTTCTAGTTAGTAGAGAGCACAAAAACACTGAAACACTTCAGTTTAGTCAGTCCGCCTGCCAGTACCGGATGGCATTTTAAGACAGGAAATGAAATCACTTCAGAGACCGAATGACTGACATATCCAAAATGGCCGCTGATGCCAGTGTGTGTGACAGTTTTATTCAGACCGTTGCTGGGATTCAGTCAAAGAGCAGTGCCAAGACTCAATGTCAGACAGAGGCCGTAGAGTTTTGCTGCCAAATACACACGCACACACACACACACACACACACACACACACACACACACACACACACACACACACACACACACACACACACACACACACACACACACACACACACATACCTACTTAACCACAATGTGAGGACGTATGACTGGGAACCCTACCT